TCACGCTGGTTGCCCTTAAAGGGACAGTGCACTTTACTTTGACCACCAAAGCACTCCAGTAGCTAATGACTTAATGCATATTTCATGAAGGTGGTTGCAAATCATGTTGTATATATTTCAGTTTGAAGAAGCAATCAGAGAAAGTATAATTAAAATACAATCTTTACACATCTAGTAGTATTATTGGTATAGATTTAAATTAAATTGGCTGGTTATCTGAGTCTAATCAATATTTTCTATTGCATGTCAACTCTACTTTTATATAAATGCCAGACACATTTTCAAAATAATAGTATTAATAATAGTGTATTATATATGTGAAATAGGGGTAATTCATTCAAGAATTCTTGTGTTTTTGTGCTAGCCAAAAATATTTTAAAGTTACTTTTCTGATGGAGAGTCTGCCATCTGATAGATTCCACTGAGACGTTCTTGTTTGCCTGGAATATTCCACAGTATGACATTAAAAATCACTGTATACAATAGATATCGTGTCACCATCTTGTTTCCATGCATATCATAGAGATTTAATTCCATATTGCGGAACATTCCAGGTAAAAGCAATAACCTCTCTATGGGGACAAGCAGATGGTGGACTCTCTCAGAAATATACATATTACATATATAAAGATTATATATTAAATCACTTTAAAGGTGCGATAAGTGCAAGGACAGTTACGTCATCATAGCTTGCATACCTAGCTTTTTCAAGAATGAAGCTTTCAAAAAAAAAAAAATGGAAATGTGTTGACTTTTCAAAACCCGTCTCATGTATCTTAAAAACGAGTGGGAAGAGTTTGTTTCTGCAGTCTCTATAAATCTTGTTTTGCATATTTGAACACTATGTCATGTATTCTGGCACTCCTCTGCACTGCTTTACTGAATACATGGCTCTGTCTGGTTTAGCTGTTTACTTCGTTTTAACATCTACAAGCAGTGGCTCATTACCGTGACGCTGGCGGTCGGAGTTTTTGCCTCTCTAATTCATGTTTACATCAGTGAAAAGTGGAAAGTGAAAATATTTAATCAGTACAGTTTCTAACATGAGTTTACAGAGGGACTACATTACCAGACACAGCTCTCAGTTTATGAATGAGCCACCGCTTGCTTGATCTGGCACAGTTTTGGCCTAGTGACTGAAAACTGCTTAATCCCAGATCACTTCCCTTTTGTCTCGTCTCTATGCTAGGATCTGCAGCAATTAGCCAATTACCAGAGGCTAAAATGTGTGACGAGCTCAAGTATGTGTGAGATTATATAATTTGCAATGGGTTGCGTAAAGAGGTGAGAACATAGCAGGGCTTACTCCTGGTGTTTGCAAAGGTGGCCTCAACCTGCCCCTTTGCTAGTTTACAGTGCGGTGTGCAGAGGGATTTCAGGGGAATGTAGGAGGTGCGTGCTTGGTGGCAGAATGGTTAGTGCCTGGGTCTGTAGGGATGGAGTATGGTGTATTCTAGCTCCTAAGTGCCTACCTAGAATGCATGTAAAAGTGAATAGTTAAAGGTATTGTATTATGCAAAATTCACTCTTGTGAGTTTTAGAGAGAACAAGAGCCATGTTATAATATTGTTACCTCATCAAAAACATACCTGGAGTTGTGCTTTATTTCATTCACACTTGTTTGAGTAACCCTTTATTATTAGGCTCTGTCCACACTAGTACATATTCGAGTCGTTTTCATTGTGGATGCAGTGTTCGTCCACACTAATTGAAAACGGCTTCAGAGACGGAACGATCTGGGGCCGCCAACTCCCATGAATTCATTTGAGTATAGATCTGATCCGCCAAAATGCTAAGAGGCTAGGATATATGTCCATTCATATATACGGTCTGTGCGTATGACCTGCAGACGTATAATTTCTGAAAAGCTTAACCTGAACCATCTCCAACGCGATAGAAGCACAGAACAGACTCACCATCAGGAGAACACCTCTCTGTCACTAAAAGAACACTCATATTCCACTGAGTCGTGTCCTTTAGTTCGACAGAAGCTGAACCGCATCAGCACACAATAGCGAACTGTTTTTTGAGTGCGTAATTTATGCTAATTAGACATGCGGTTTTAAGTTTTGTTTCTGTAAAATGTAAACAAATATGCTCAAAGCTTTGTGGATAGGGAAGGCTTGCGGACACAGAAATGACGTGTGTGGACGCAAACCATTTCTGATACGGTGATACGTGGATTTGTTTCAATGTAAATGGGGTCTTAGTCTGTCTGCATCTCCAAAACTCAAAAGGCTCTGATCGACCGTGTGATGTCAGTAGAGACTGGCAATTCCAGGGCTGAAATCATCCAAATTATTCTCGTGAAGGTGTGCGGAGTTTAATAACACTGTGGAGAATCTCCTGTATTACCACATGACAAGGTGGAACAGAGTGTTTTCTGTTTGAGCGAAGAACTCAGTCTAAATATCCAGGGTCTGTGTGTTAAACATGTGTGAATGAAACAAAACACAACTCTCGATATGTTTTGTTATGAGGAAATAACACTATAACATAGATCAGAAAATAGCGTAACATGGGCCTTTTAATGTACTGTGAACATAAAGTCACATATGTAACTTTTTGGTGGAGAATCCGTTGCCTGTTGTCTCCATGATGTTATTGTGGGCTCGCCTCTCCACAGATATGACCTGTAATTTGACCAGTCACTGTCACATCTTTATGGAGATAGATGAGTATAATGCCGTACTGTACTGTAGAGTATTCCAGACAAAGCAGTATTATCTCCATGGAGACATGCGTGGAGACTTTTTAATCAAAGTTAATGCACCTTTTTAATTTTGAAATTGAAATTTGGAATTTAATATTAGTGAGTAGAGTTTTCCAAAAATCTTCAGTCTGATCAAGAAACTAAACAGACAATTGCAACATTTTTAGCCAAATTTTAAATGGCCTAACTCGGTGAACAGACCTGTTATAGCAATTTTCACAATCTATTTAAAAATGTTGTCAGTTGATTTTTTACCCACTCTGTCCTAACCTGATCACATATTATAATTGTTTTCTATTTTGTACCAAGATGTAACGTTTTCTTTTTATAGACTTCTGGTCTTGTGGCATCCTAGAGACTTCTGTGGTCTAAATAGTACTAAAATTAACACAAACCTAACCCTACCTTTCTCTTATCTCTCTGCAGATGGTAATATAGTCTGTTAAATTCTGAACTTGTCTCATTATTTTCCAACAGTGGTGCACCTGCTAAACCACAACAGTGTGTTTATCCAATACAGCCTTCCATACGCCTCACTGAACACTCTCTCTTTCTAGTTGGAATGAGACTCAGTGACTTAACAGGCCTTGTAATGAAACACAAACGTAGGCCTGATGGAGCTGTGAAAGCCCTCAAATGAACAGTTAATGGGAGCTGTTACACCACCTGTCACTGTAGTGTTTCTCCATAACAGGCCTGGACAATAACAAGCTTATGTGTTATGGAGTTTTAGTTATTGCTTCGTTAGGGCAAAGTTTTTTCTGCTCCAGTGGTAGTGTGTATGAAACAAAGGGGATTATAGTAAATACTGTGTGTCATCAGGGTTCATCAGTTCTGCCCTTTGGACTAAAAAAATCTAAATTGTCAAGTATTCTTCACAATTACGTATTCAAGTATTTATTATAGGTACTACATTGGCGTATCATTTAATATATCATAGCTAGATCAATATTTTTTGGGGATCAATATTTATCGTGGGTACATTTTCATTGCAAAGTAATGTTATTTTAGTTGTAATACAATTAGATTTGAGCTGTATAGGGTTGAATAAGTCACTTTTATGGCAAATTTTTGGTTCATTATGCTATTTGTTTGTTGCAGTTCATGATACTGTCTATAATCTTGCTTTATAATCAGTAGCCTGAAGTAGTTTCAATATTATAGTTTATGAATATATTTGTAGTACTATATCGTGCTTCAAACTTTATCATGACAGACCTTATTCAGTAGTAAGGCTGGGTAAAGTTCATATGAAACACACCCTTTTTACTCATCAAAATCGTGAATATGTCAAATGTGTTGCATAAACGAGTTTCCTTCCTCTGAACAAGCAACAAAACTGTTGCGCTGTAACAAAATAATTGAGTAAAATATACCAAAAATATACTCTGGGTGATATATCGATACAGCAGCGCACGATATCAATACTGTATCAGCATATTAAGTGTAAAGATATATTGATATTTTGATATTTTTGCACACTCCTTTTCAGTAGTATTATTACCACTAGTTTGATTCAGTTTGATTTGGGAACAATATCTTAATTACAATTTCTCTGTGAAGCAATGCAGTTGTGTTTAGTTAAGAATTACACAGAATATTTTGTTGTTTTTGGAGGAAATAATGTTACTTACTAATTATGTTACTTACTACTTACAATAATTCCAGCCTTTGTGATTTTGATTGTGATTAATCTTGCTATTACCAGTCATACTGTAGTACTATCACTACTACTAAACTAATATTAATACTGCCACTAACAATAACAATAATAATACCCTACTAGCTTGACCTGCATTTCGAAACTGTAGACATTATTCATTCATTTCACACTTGGCGGTGTCTTGCCTAAGGAGCCACGTCAGAACTAATGACTTTCAAGGCGGTGGACAAGCGGTTTAACCACTGAGCCACTGCCACTCTGCTGCCACGACTACTACTATTACCACTATCACTGCTACATGTACCACCGTTACTTCATCACTGCTATCATTACTACTACTGTTTATACTACCAACAAAAACACCTCCACTAGTCTTGCTTAGTCACAGTACTTTGATACTCAATCACCTGCGTAAAAAATTTAAACAGAAAAGTCCCTACTTTCTTTTCATAAACAGCTCCTGTATTTTAACCCCAGCCAGTCATGTCAAGAGAAATTAAACTTTTACTGTCTGTTCATTAAGTTTCTGGTGTAAAACAAACAGAAAGCAGCTGGGAGTTGCGCAGTAGCCGGCCGGCGCTGAGTAATATTTTGACTGTGTGCCACTTTCTCCCCCCCGTGTAGGGCCGTGCTATGGCAGCTGCTGGTTCGTGTCACTGTCTCCTCAGCCCTGACCGGAGTGCACTGGATGTGGTCAGCTGAGTGGTAAGTCATCCTCGCCCGCGTAGATAGAGCCTCTGCCAAGCGCTTTACAAGTTTCCCTATACCTCCTTGAACCACTCCAGATCTTTCCACAACTGTTACAAGTACAGTACAAGGCCGTTCCCTCCCTCCACCTCTCCTTCTCCTCTGTCTCTCTTTAGTCGCTCTTTCAAGTGAAACTGGCATCAAAATTCAAGTCAAACAAAGTGATTCAATAAACTTCTGTCAACTCCCACGTTTTTTCTTTTTTCTCTGATCTACAGGAATGCACTGTCACGAGTCGGATCCCACGCACAATCGCTACAAGATCCTAAAGTCATGAATGAATGATTCGGGGGGATGCCCAAAGTAGAATTTTTCACAAATCAATAAGTAATAAGAACAGGATTGTCTCTATTTATGCCACCACTTCATCAGATGTGGTTAATAGTCAAACTGTATTCATCTAAAAGGCATTTGTTATGACTGTGCACTTCCAGTTAACCAGGAAAACCAAACTGGAGTTACTCATGCTTTACTGTGGAGGTAATGGGGCACAACAAAGTGGAGTAGATTCCTGTGGAGTGATTTCATGAGCTTTTACAGACCAATAAACTCTTGCAATTTAGTCTCTTGTTCAATGTGAGACTTTTGTGAATGAAAGTAGCAACAGGAAGTGAAAATATGAACTAAGTGGCTTTAGAATATGAGGAAATAAAAAAATGAACAAATGTAATACTGTAAAAGTAGTGTCAATAAGCAATAAAAGTTGTCAACGCTGCAGGAAGTAATTATTGGTCAATGAGAACTACTTCTAATATAGCATACAATACTGAAACCAGAACACTACATTTTATTGCTCTTCTCACGTGAGCTTATTGTTTGAGTAAAGTATACATAAAATACATGACATACTTTAAATGTAGAGTACAGTAAATTGCTTCATCTATATTGAGTAAACTATACATAAAAAGTAAGTACACATGAAATTAAGTTACTTCTACTACTTCTGTAATGATGTAAGTACTAAAATAGGAGTAAAACTATTTACTGAAGCTTAATTTACCATTCGGAAAGCACAAAAGGGAACTGAATACATACACCAAGTTTAACATAGGTTTTACATGTGCATTTTTTCTGAATGGGTAACGGCAGTGACAACGAGAAGTGATATTTCTACAGAATTGTCATGCTCATTACTAACTTATACTTCCAAAAAGTCAAAAACTTGCACAATTAATCTCAAATACCCCTTGTGTGATTCATATGTTTTTATTCGCTCTTATCTCGTCATCTGTGTCCATCCAGGAAGTGCACTGTCCCTCCTCTGCCCCTGTTACCTCATAGTGCCCGCTCCGAGGCAGGTCCCCGCCCCCTCCCTGCTCTTTTGATGTGGCCCAGTGTTTGTTCACCAGCGCCAGCGGTCTGACGGCCCATTCACACACGGGACACTTGCTAAATCCCAGAGCGCAGCTCGGCCAGCAGCCCCATTGTGTAACCCTGACGCTGGAGGTGAGAAACATGCACCCATTATAAATAGAGAGAGGTAGGAGAGAGGGAGAGAGGAGGGACTTACCTGGGGTCAGATTCAAAGGATATCTGATAGCACATAAATAGGCCTGTCACAATAAATACTATATATCGACTTACAGTTCAATATATGAAAGAAGGGTCAATATTTATTGTATGTTCTTTTTCTTTACACTACTAGCTATATTATAAGATTTGAACTTTAGAAGATTATAGAAGATATACTCTTAATAACATCTATGATTCATTACAAATTCAAATTAAATATTAAAATGTAAAGTTATTGCAGCTTGTTATTGTAGATTTTTAGTTTTTTGGGTTTTTTTGTGGTTTAAATCTGCTCTTGAGTTTTTGCGTCAGAGACATGAATGAATTGCAATATTATTGTCTATATTTACTTCAACAATACATAGTACTTCAGAATTTGTTATTGTGACAGGCCTACACACAAACATATCCAGCTTGTATGTGTGTCCTCAGAAGAATGCATGCACATACTGTATATGTGTGTTTATCTGTATTTGTGGCATTAATCTGTGATCTGTGTGTCTTGTCCACAAGTGAACACTGATAGCAGTGAAGCTCAACAGTGAGCGCCCACCAAAAGGTTCTTGAGGTAAATTTTCCATTTAGTTTCCTCATATATTTTTGAATAAAAAAACAACTCTGTGTAATCCCTCAGTGTTCCAGGTAGGGCCCATCACAAAGGGAAATTGAATTCTGTCATCTAGACAAAAGCTTTGAAGAGTGAATACGTTTTGCCTCAGATCCAAGTAGCTTCATAGTTCTGATCTGAAAAAAGCTACTTGAAAGCTTAATTTGGTTTTCATTTCCACAAGACTCATCATTTTATTTAGAGTCTGTTTCTGAAACTTTGCAGCACTTTTCAGTGGAATGTTTTTTTTTTGTTTTTTTTTCGAAATGTGTATGGGAAAATGACACATTACTTCCGGAACCCCAGAGGGCTTCAAAGTGGGTGTGAGAGTCGGGGCCCATACGTTTTTGGGAGTTGTGACATGCACTGGCTGTGGTGGCTCCTAGTGGGTGAAATTTGGAAATATTTAGAAACTCCATACATCTAAACCTCATGATCAGATTCTGAATGCCTCTATTTAAAGAGCTATTTTACTTTGTAATGTCAGATTTTCCTTTGAATAAAACGTTTTTCTGACTGTAGTGCAAATGTGATGATGTCTACTCTCACTTTGACTCCCTTATACAGAATTGAAAGTACCAAACGGTTCTAATCACAGTTTGAGGGTGGTGTTGATAAGGCTCTTTTACCAGCCTGCAGCAGCAGATTAGCACAGCGGCTAACAGGCACTGCTCTTTATACTGTCTGTGCAGCTATGGACAATGTGTGATTCATTCAAACACAGGAACTGATCTGGAAAAGAGAAAGTCTGCCCCCAGTTACTCATTGATATGTTCTACCAGACTGCGTGGCAACAGGGTTAAATATTTGGACATATCTTATCGTGTCCAGCTGACTCATAAATAGTTGATACTGTAGTTTATGGCTATAGCAGTTATGGTTTTTGTCCACTGAGCGGAGGATGTAGTAGAACAGAGGAAACCGCCAAACTTGTGTGTGAGTTCCTTGTTGCCGTGACACCACCATAAATGGAAGGAGATTCATTCACAAATTTGCACCCCGTGAACCCGCCTCTATGATACTTAAGCCGACTGACAGATGCAGCGCTAACGCAACACTGCCAGAATGCTAGCTCACCCAACCTCTGCTGCACTTTGATTACTATTTAAAGTCATGTGCAAACTGTAATTGGATCGGACCTTTAACAAAACCAGTCATGCATGCAGATATTTTTGTCTCGTATTTATTAAATAATTCACCCTTTTATAAACTTCCAATTTTGTGCATAGTCTGCATACCAGTTTTTGGAATTTTCAACTTGTAAATCAACCTGATCTGTCTCTATGGAAGTTTAATGCCATACTGTGAAAATTTTTAGGCAAAGTCATAGTGTCTCCATAGAGACAAGCAACTGCCAGATTCTCCACCGGACATGTTGCAAAGTGCAGCTTTAAAATATACATATAATATTACAATATGTGAACAATTACTTATTTATAGGGGTATTCTCTATAGTCCCTTGTTAATTACTGAGTCAATACTCAATAGATAACTGCATTCATATACTGCATATTCATGGTTAGTACTTTACCATACCCTTTACTATGCTATGTAGACGTTTCTCCATATGTAATAACAATTGAATTCCATTATAAGGACTTCCTCTAAAGAGCTACTTTCTCTTGTACAGTCACTTCCAGTGGCTCTGCAGTCACAGTGTAACCCTGTACTTTTACTACTAAAGGTCACTGAGTGTGTAGTGGCATATAAATAGCAGGGAGGGGGGCTATTAAGCATCCGTATGCCTTCATCAGCAAATCTTCAATTAGAATGTAACTGCTCAGACCTCCAGCCTTTTAATCTCTTTATCTAAGCGAACAGCATGTATATGTATGTGAGCATATGTGTTCTTATCTCCACATCACAAAATCTAATTCAGCCCCCATCACTTCACTATCTCATTTATCTCTTTCACAGATCTTGTATGTGAGCGACTTCCCCTACAGCGGAGTGTGCATGGCGAAAGTGCCCAGACATGCTGCAGGTGAGTGGGTTGCAGTGCGTTCCCAGGCTTCCAGAGAGAAAATAGTCCCTGAAAAATAGTGGTGGGAGGTCTGACAGTGGCTGTAACTTGGCAGGGGTGAAGTATGCCCTCTCCGGTACAGAACAGCAGGCTGCTACATGCCCCCCCCCTCCTCTCCCTCATGAGAAGGCTCTTTCCAGGAACTGGACTGCACAGTACTACACAACGTTTATTTCATTTCAGTGCAGTCATGGTGTTTTGAAATAAAATGAGCACGTGTTATGTTTGAATACTGAAGCCGTACATTATTGGCCAGTGAAATATTGACTGCAGGAAGTAACTACCGGTACTATGAAACCATTGGGGTTATGGTAGTGTGAAAGTAGTGCTGTCATGCGATTAAAAAAATTGAGAGATTAATTAATTATGATCTGTAATTAATTAATCTAATTAATCTCATTTTAATCTCACCTAAAAATTGCTGAGAAAAGCCTTCAATTTGAGGTATTTTCATTTAAATTCATTATTACATTATTGTGGCAGATCAAAAGACTGATATAGATTTTAAAAAAGTGACTTTATAAAGTCATTTATTGTTTAACAAATCTCTGCAAATTGGCTGTTGAGCCCAAGTCTCCATGAATAAGAAACTGTTTGTTGTAAAGTAGCAAAGACGAGGAAATCTGAACATAATAACTTTTGTCTACTTAAAGACAATAAAAAGTCCAGTCTTTCCTTAACCATATTAAAAATATTATTGATAGAGAAATGCTTTATATATGAGATCACTGGTTTTAGACCTGGTTTAGACCTGGTTTAGACCTACTTTAGTCCTAGTTTAGTCCTGGAATGGATTAATCCTGGTGTTAGTCCTGGTGTTAGTCCTGGTGTTTAGTCCTGGTGTTAGTCTGGTGTTAGTCCTGGTGTTAGTCCTGTGTTAGTGTTAGTCCTGGTGTTAGTCCTGTGTTAGTCCTGGTGTTAGTCCTGGTGTTAGTCCTGGTGTTAGTCCTGGTGTTAGTCCTGGTGTTAGTCCTGGTGTTAGTCCTGGTGTTAGTCCTGGTGTTAGTCCTGGTGTTAGTTCTGGTGTTAGTTCTGGTGTTAGTTCTGGTGTTAGTTCTGGTGTTAGTTCTGGTTTTAGTCCTGGTTTTAGTCCTGGTTTTAGTCCTGGTTTTAGTCCTGGTTTAGTCCTGGTTTAGTCCTGGTTTTAGTCTTGGTGTTAGTTCTGGTTTAGAGGCGCACAGGAGGAAGCGCGGTTTACGCCGCGTACGCGAGAAAACACGATCCACACGCGGCTCACGGGAGGACAGCGATGTCCGCGCAGTGTCTACGGAAGAAAACGTGGTCCGCGCGTTCTCAGGTTAATGACGATGATGAAGGTGTGTGTTTGTTTGTGTGTGTTTGTGTGTGTTTGTGTGCGTGTCCCCTCATGTGGCAGGTCACTATAGGACAGTAGTGCAGAGATCATGAGCCTATGCAGGTTGTTTTCAGGCGATATTATATTTGTTATTTTCTTTTATATTTCACGTCGGGAGAATAATTTCCAAGACACGAATGTGTTTTTACCCGTGCTGCCTCTGTTCTACTGGCTCTTCGACCTCGTCCATTGTGCGACTGACGCCGCCAACGTTAACATGACGTTTACTTACGCTCTTACTGCGCACGTTTTGTGTGGGTTTCCGGCAATGAGTGGAATTACCGAAATAAAAAAATGTATAAATGTGTTTTTTGTGTGTGTGTTGTTGTCCCAACAACACATAAAAACAGGTTTTATAATAAAGAAACTCACATACAGAAACACTAAAGTTAGAGATTAAAAATGAGATTAACGCGATTAAAAAACATAACGCGCTAAATATGACTGTAATTAATTAATCGCAATTAACGCGATAATTTGACACCCCTATGTGAAAGTAACTGAAACTGCTCCCATTCAAGTGGTTTTGTGTTAAAAAAATGCCAACCAATCATAAGACTTTATTTAAAAAGGGGTGGAGATCATAGTGGTGCTTTGCTTATGTGACTGATGGTATATTTATTTCAATTTGAACCAGCTGATTTGAATGTTGATACTAGGGTTGCTTAATATTGCAAAATATTGCAATATGTGATATGGCTGTTCAGTACTACAATATGAAAATACTTTTGAATGCAACTATTTCAAATATATTAAAACAAAAAGCTAATTTTGGAATACATTAATTTTTTTTTAAAAGTCCTATATAACTGTTGTGAGCCTTTATACCTGGTTTTGTTTCATTCACACTTGTTTGAGTAATGAGTCATGAAGTTTTCATGTAGTTTTCAAGTTAACTTTAGATGTGTAGATTGGCAGTTCCAGGGCTGAAATTGTCAAAATAATTCTAGTGAAAGTGTATGGAGTTTAAAACACAGTGGAGCACTTCCTGTATTACCACCTGACATCACAAGGTGGAACAAAGTGTTTTCTGCACTCAATAAGCAAGGTTTGTGTCTGAAACATGTTTGAATGAAGCTAAACAAAACTCTGGGTATGTTTTAATGAGGAACCATTATAGCATAGATCAGAAAAAGAGTATAATATAGGCCCTTTAAAAACAGTATATTTCTGTCTGATGATGAACCTTAGTGTTATTATGATACATTCAGTTTGTGATATAGATTACTACTATTACCTATATTAGCAATAGCACTTACTTAAGCTGTCCAGCTGTAACGTAGGTTGACCGTGAGCGGCTTGGGGTTCAGTGAGCAAGGTAAAAAAAACAAATCCAGACACAGACAGGTAGTTGTGGTCCACAGTTTACTTTTGTTTTTTCAATGATTACAAAAGTGCAAGTGCAAAAAGTGCAGGGTGCAAAATGGAGGCAGGCAAGCAGTTTCCTCTCCAGCAGCAGAACACAGACTGATCTTTGAAGGCGCCTTTTATGCTGATCCTACTGATTGGATAAAACCACTATGCTAAAACAGGGATGTTTAAAATTATCATTAGCGTAAAATCAAAACCTAAACCTCCATAAAACGACCCAAAACCCAGATAACTATTAAAACCACCAACTATATACATAAAACCCTAAAACCATTACACCAATTAAATGTTAAAACCCATAAACCAATAAAACACCAAACCTAAAACCCCTGTACAAAATGTTACACGTGGTCCAGCCCGGAACCATAAAAGAGGGAGCTCGTTTCCGGTGGACTCTTTTCACACCTGGACAGAAGATAAAAAGGGGAGGTAAGTAAAAGCAGATCCACCATTCATTAAAACACAGTAAAATACACTAAACACATCAACGCTTAAAACATTCTAAAACAGATATTGCACCATATTTATTGCACAAAGTCAATTTAAAATATAATTTGTTATTGTCTCCCTTTTCCTCCAGGGACAAGCAACTTCCAATTAAAGTGCTGTGCCTCAGGAATAAAAAAATGGTTAAAGGAACGACAATAAATATTTTTTGAAACCAATCGTGTGCAATTTATTTTGTGATGTGCAAATATGTTAAAAGTGCTGTGTGCTAGGAAAGTGCAGTGTTTTAAAGTGCTCTAGTGAAGGGTGAAGGTGCTAAGTGTGGTTCTAGGGTAACAAACCAGCCTTTTTGTTACACCAGCCCTAGTTGGTATTACTGCTTGCATTCTGCTTGGTACATTGAATCTGCAACTGCATTTTAAATCTTGCTGTATTTTCTAACAAACATAGCTGCACGTCTTTCCACCAAATTGATGTTGTCATTTTGTCATCTATAAAACTGCCCAACCTGAAAGCACATTGTAAACTATATACGTAGTGTCAGATTTGAATAATGCTTCCTTATATTTATGCTAACTGCGATGACTTTTTTTTTCTCCATAGCTGCAGCAGTGGAGCAGACGATTTACTGTTTATGAAATCTACGAATCATCATGAAACAAGCAAACACAGGTGGGAATAGAATAAGGCGAGAAGAAGAAGAAGAACACCTGATTCAGAATGCAACTAAATGGCATCTATTGACAATCAACTTTAGTGACTAGCTTTGATTCATAAAGTAATTGTGTTATGACTTGTGAATATGATCAGCTCTTAAAATGTTAGGAATTTTTGTGGCTTTGTTTATATATCTGTGTAATCCCTCAGTCGTCCAGGTGGGATCTATAGCAAAAGAAAAATTCTATTCAGAACAGAACTGAAGAAGCCGCTTAGATGAGCTGCAAAATGTCTTCACTCAAAAAACTTTGGTCCAGTTGATGGCATACAATTTTTCTTTTGTGTCTTTACATATTTGACAACTCAGTTAAAAATAAGCAACTTTTAGTATGAGTTTGAGAAGGTAAGTAAAACAAAAAACTATTTATCTGTATTAACAATATGATCAATAAAAGTATCTTCTATGGCTTACTTTTTGTCCTTGAGCCATCCTTTTAACACTTCTTTAACAACAGATAACATTTTATAATTTCTAATATAAATATGTAGGTATTGGTACTGCAATCACCAGTTAAAAATGAAAAAGTATGCACTAGTATCATTTCTCTTGCGTTAAGACAGTTGGTTTTCATATGACTTTCCTAATTCTAATCTCAGAAAAGCTTGACCGTATTTCACATTTCACACCAGCAAAGTGTATGGAAATTGCACAAACATTTGGGTATTGAAATTTCATTATCTTTTTTTTATTTTTTATATTCAGTACCTTCACTCTGACTCATTGGAAGGGGAAGTCTGTCTTGCCTGTATACTTGCCGCATACGGGCTACTTAAACTCTGCACTCATTTGGGGACTTCCCTCAATACAATATTCTCTGTTCTGCTTGTTGCCAGTTGAAAATGTCACCCTTTATTATCAGTACAGTACTTAGATGAGCTTCTATTGTTGCAGTCATTTGGAGGAGATGCTGTTCAGTGAGGAGGCAGAGCTTGAATGACCTCCATGCTTACACAGATGCTGCCATTTAGACAAGGCTATGAGAAAGGTGAGGGAGGAACAGATCAGGTAGCCTACTTAAATCATTTCACATCAAAACTGGGTGTGGCTGTGTGTTTCTAAAGAGGGTTCCAGGGCTGTGTGTATATGTCTTATTATGTGTTAAAACCTATTCTGATTGAAATAAAACTAAATATATTTTACTTGTATTTATGACTCTTTATCCTTCTGAAAATATTGGTTCCAAGATGACAATACTAATTTCTTGCATTATAAAAAACAAAACAGAAAAATGCAATTGTTGGTGATCCATTTTTACACCCATTAATGCGTGCAAGTTAGGTTTAGCTACATAAAAGTATAACTAAAGGTGTAATATGTAACATTTTTGATTTAGTGTATACCACCTGCTCGTCTCTATGGTGATATTATTGCTTTGCTTGAGAGGTTTTGCATTATGGCATTGAGAACAATATAGATGGTTCAGATCTCTGGAAAGGCAAGCCCCCTCACTGCAAGAATTAATGTTTTTTAAGGTATTTTTGACCATCCAGACAAAGCTTTAACATCGCCATGACAATAAGCAAATGCCAGATCCTCCACCTGAAAGTTACTGTACTGTACATAAAAAAAAAAAAAAGTTTTCCATCCAGTGTTATAACAAAGTAAGATAGCTAATGAATCTACTTGTAAACATGAGTTGTTTAATTGCCCTGGGAATTTTACAGTGACTAAGGGTGTGTGAAAATTCGTCAAACAAAGCACCACTTGACTGCTGCTGCCTCCGCATTTGACATTTCAATCAAAACAAAAAAACTACATGTGCTAGCACATGAGAACCTCATGGAAAGTCCTCATTATAGCATGTAAATGGCACAAATGGCTGTATCACAGAACCTCACCACGTCAATTTTAATGTGGTGAACCACTCTTCTCTGCAGCTTTATCACACTCATCAATACAAACTCATACATCGCATGAGTTGTGACACACTTCTAGG